AAGCCGCACGAAACACACACATCGTACACCACATGCAAAATAAAAATGGAAAATGCGGTTTCGGTTCATGCGGTGGGCGCATGTAGCCAACACGTCTCCAAAGCAACAACGCATGTGTTAGGGCCCGGTCACACATGCACTCGAAAGTAGCGTATACGCTGAAGCGAGGTCGCAGGAGCGAAAAATGGCATGGCAACGGCGAAAAGCGGAACTTCCGCTTCAGCGGAAACTCCAATCCGCTTCCGCCAAAATTTTCGAAGCGACACTGTCGCTTCTGCGGATTCGCTTCAGCGGAAAACACCACGGTCTGCTGTGTATGGACTTGCTACGAGAAATTTGTATGCGTATGATGTCCATGCAACAAAAATGCGTGCAAGATAGTCATTGACCTCGTCTATTCTCCGTACCGTATGCACCACAGTCCACTTTCTTCTTATTTTCCGCCAAAGTAGGAGTTTGCCCTGTTTGTATGTGTGACCATCAGGGAGTCGTACTCAAACTAGGGAGGTGACACGGCACAGAAATCCGTGTCACAGGGGTTGACTCGCACCCGTGACCCCTCGTTGTTATTTTTGGAATAGTTCAGTCCAGTCCAGTCCGAAAGGTCATACTCGGATCGACTCGCCTTCTGTACTTCACCTCCAAGCGTGCCGCATGGGTGTCTAGTTTTTGAAATTATTGAGGCAGCACATTTCGTTTACAGCCCATCACTCGCCAGTATTCTTTGAAAGACTACCAGCAATTTTGTTAGCTCCTGCCATGTCCGAACTACTTGATAGCAGTGATGGCAATAGCAGCAGTTATGAAACGGCGTGTAGTGTTGCGGTAACTGTTCAGAACTTTTCAGAGTCGTATCCTAGGTTAATCCGAATACTAAAAATTGACCCAAATTGCACATAACACGAAGCTGGTTTTTGAAAATTGTAAGTCGTGTATCTGCCCCATTTCTTCTTTATGACTTGCACAATACACCAGTCTTCCTAAACAACACATTTATAGCAGGGGTTAAGTACCATATAAGAGAAGTACAGCCAGTGATATTGTCATGTTGAAATACTACAATTTTGACACAAATTACACATAACACGAAGCCAGGTTTTGAAAATTGTAAGTCGTGTATCTGCCCCATTTCTTCTTTATGACTTGCACAATGGTCCAGTCTGCCTAAATAACACATTTATAGCAGGGGTTATGTACCATATTAGAGAAGTACAGCCAGTGATATTGTCATGTTGAAATACTACAATTTTGACACAAATTACACATAACACGAAGCCAGGTTTTGAAAATTGTAAGTCGTGTATCTGCCCCATTTCTTCTTTATGACTTGCACAATGGTCCAGTCTGCCTAAATAACACATTTATAGCAGGGGTTATGTACCATATTAGAGAAGTACAGCCAGTGATATTGTCATGTTGAAATACTACAATTTTGACACAAATTACACATAACACGAAGCCAGGTTTTGAAAATTGTAAGTCGTGTATCTGCCCCATTTCTTCTTTATGACTTGCACAATACACCAGTCTTCCTAAATAACACATTTATAGCAGGGGTTAAGTACCATACAAGAGAGCTACATTGTACATCTAGTCATACTGTCATAAACAGCCAGCATTTTTCCTGCAGCAGTCACACCACCATCGTCATTATTTCCAGGGAAATCCTCTTACATGTACATTGTCAGCTCCTATGTCGTTAGATACAATGTAGGGGGCTGTAGGACCGGCTCGTCAAAAATAGAGAACGTGAACAAGCGTGCTCGGGACGTCTCAGCAATCGTAGTATGCCTGAGCACTCCAATAAAAACTTGATCAATGGCAAAATCGTTCCCCACAGAAAAATCATACTTTGCGGGTCTTGCGTTGCACGCTTGGAGGTGAAGTACAGAAGGCGAGTCGATCCGAGTATGACCAAGAGTTCATAACCCCCAAGAGTGTGCAACTCCTGGTCTCTCGCACTGTAGATTCTCGCTCGGCGGAATTCCTACATTACGTCATGTCTAGGTGCTTAGTGATGAGTCATCATCAAATATCTGCTGTCAAACCGGGCATTTTGAGCTTGGGTAACCTTACTAAACGTTTTGAAACCCACGTTTTTCATAATACGTCGACACTGGACAAACTTGTGAAGTAAGTTGTGGCGGTCGATGACCGGTCATGTCAGAGTTATGAACTCTTGGTATGACCTTTCGGACTGGACTGGACTGAACTATTCCAAAAATAACAACGAGGGGTCATGGGTGCGAGTCAACCCCTGTGACACGGATTTCTGTGCCGTGTCACCTCCCTAGTTTGAGTACGACTCCCTGGTGACCATACACTCGTGATTTCGCTGGAGCGACACCAGGCTCGCTGCCGCCGAATCTCGACGCCGAAGCGAACCCCAGTGCATGTGTGACCGGGCCCTTAGCAGTCGTGGAGAAATCACGTAGAGCGAAACCCAACAGCTCTGATTTTTACGTATGAAAATTCCATGCAGTTCCTACGTTATTTTCATACGTAATTCCGTAGAGCGAAACCTCCCCAGTACCCGTACTTGTTCCTTCATTTTCACCAGGGAGTCGTAAAATGCATATAAATATTATGGTATTTTACGACTCACAGATTTTCACAAACCATACTTCATTTCATTTATGAAGCCCATGGCCGGCCCATGGCTTTATACATGTAGCTGAGAGACTGGCTTTTTTTGGCTATTTCATAGTTACTGTAATCGATTACTACAATACTTTGCGGACATACGGTATACATTTTTTTTTTTTTTTTTTTTTTTAACATTCACACTGCATTTATTCGCACAGCAGAAAAGCAACCAACAGAAAATCACGGAATCATAGCAAACAAAACAAAATCATCGGATAATAAAAGTGTGGCTAGACACGGCTACTCCGCAAGAGTCTCAGTCACGCAACAGACAGTCGTTGACTGCCAGCACAACAGGAGTGGCAGCATCCAAACGACTGCGGTAGGGAGAAGCACGGTGACCACGGAGGCTCATGTTGCAGGATCGAACCAAAGCAAAGGAGACAAGAGAGCGGATCCAGGACATGACGGAGGAGTAGGGTTCATGCCGCTTCTCCGAAACCATATGGCCAAGACGCTTCAGGAAAGCGTGGGCTACCTTGCCGCACCCACCAGATGCACTGAATACCAGTGGGAGAAAGGAAGCATGCTCCACCTCCCTGACGCGTTCTTCGTAGGCCCTTCTCTTCTGCTGTTCGTGCTTGGCATAGGTGGACGCGGGAGTTGAGGAAGTGTTCGAGCGCGCATGAGGGTTAAAAAAAACCCGAACATCACAGAACGTGCGCTCAAAACGACTTCCCCAGACACCAGATGCCGCCACATCAAGACGAGCGCCATCTTCCAAGATGGCAGAGCGATACCGGAGCCTTTCACCTTCCAGGGGCTGCAGAGGAGGTTCTATCTTCACATCCGTTGCCACTTCACGCAGTAGGTCGGCTGTCAGGTCGCGGATCGTGTTATGACGGAGAGCCGGGTATCCACCAGTTGGGCACGAAAGAGCATGGCTGGTGTTAAAGGGGAAGTATACCCTAACATCAAATTTTCACCAGTTGTAGTCTTCGGGGTGCTGAGTCGAATGGTCTTGGTCCGAGGAAGCTGAGACGCTCCCTTCCTACTTGAATCCCAATCGAACTCGCGCACTTCCACCGAAACTGGGTGACTGCGCCCTACTAGATGGGGATTTGTATGCAAAATGTCACTAAAAGCGCCATTTCGTTCTTATAAAAGCACGGATGACCGCGATTGGCCCATATGTTGTAGTCTTTTGGACGCTGAGTCGACTGGTTTTGGTCCGAAAAGGCTGCGATGCAGCGTTCCTCCTTTATTCCCAATCGAACATGGTTGAAGAAGCGGTCACGTGCTCGTGCGTACACCAGTCGCCTGGTCACCGTGCCTGCAGGGTACAACTTACTAGCCTGTTTGACCTTTTTTGGGTGCAGTCCTGTCACTCGAGTTGAACTCGAGTTGAACCTTGGTGTGAAAGTTGTCGCCTGCTGGCGCGGTGACCAGGTGATTTGGGCACCCAGGAGCACGTGACCGCTTCTTCAACCATGTTCGATTGGGAATAAAGGAGGAACGCTGCATCGCAGCCTTTTCGGACCAAAACCAGTCGACTCAGCGTCCAAAAGACTACAACATATGGGCCAATCGCGGTCATCCGTGCTTTTATAAGAACGAAATGGCGCTTTTAGTGACATTTTGCATACAAATCCCCATCTAGTAGGGCGCAGTCACCCAGTTTCGGTGGAAGTGCGCGAGTTCGATTGGGATTCAAGTAGGAAGGGAGCGTCGCAGCTTCCTCGGACCAAGACCATTCGACTCAGCACCCCGAAGACTACAACTGGTGAAAATTTGATTTTAGGGTATACTTCCCCTTTAAATGCCTTGCCACACACACAAGTGGATGGCAGGCGGGGAGGGACCCAGCCGAACCGCAGACAGAGTGCGTCTCTGAAGGCGCCTTTGTGGAGGACAAACCCGAACTGCTTCAGGGGCCGGCAAGTGAGCCAGTTGGACGCTCCTTTCTCGGCCGCCATCCCCAGGGTTCGCTGGGTGGGCACAGATATATACGGTATACATGGTATATCCAAGAGTACAACGTATTAAATTTTAGTTTTCCACATCTGCACCGTAGCTAGACCTACGGTGCGCCGGTGCCGCTTCTCCGAGACCAACGTACAGACCCAGTAGTACTCTATTATTTTACCGTACATTAGTGCGTACATAGAGTTGTACACACTGTTTCAGGTGGCAAAGAGTAGTAAAATTACGATTGACGGGGCTCTAAACTCTGGTCGGAGCGTTGCTGATTGGTCGTCTCTTGGACAACGAGACAGACCTCGTTCTGATCTGAACTCGTACTCAGCTCATGACTCATGAGCTCAGATTATCGATAGCGTGATGCGTTTTCTTTCCTGATGAGCTTTTCCTTGCAAAAATTATTTGCACCCTACTGCTACGTTCGCGCTGGGAAAGCCAGATGATCAAAGAAGGTCGTGCTGAATTTTTTTTATTCACTTGGGTGTGGAAAATCCGAGTCGTTGATTTGAAATGTCGCTGTGAATGGTGGCAAAGGATTATCAAAGAATTCATGGTACTTTATGAATGTCGAACCCCTTCTCTTCGTAAATGCTGAAACTGAGAAGCTTCTTTTATCAGTTATGGCCAAGGGTAATAAAACTGATTGAATTTAGACTTGAATTGTCAATTTTTTTATCAAGTGCTTGAGCCATGGCTGATCGGCAGCAGCAAGGTTCTCTTCAGGATGTACTGGACACATTGCATGCCCTCTACGTCGAAGGCAGACAAGAAGCATCAGCACTTTTAGAGCAATTCCAGCAATCTGTCGAGGCCTGGCAAGTCGCAGACGAAATTCTGCGAGGATATAGCAACAACCAAGTAGCATGTTATTTTGCAGCCAGCACCATGAAGATGAAGATTTCTGCAAGCTACCACCAGCTGCCTGCGGACACACGTGCTGCGCTACGTGATACTCTATTTAACCATGTAGTAAGCACTGATAGTACAGAAGCAAGAGCACAGTTGTGTTTGGCAATTGCTTATTTAGCTTTGCAGATGGTGGAGTGGACGAATCCAGTGGAAACACTAATTGACAAGCTGTCTGTGGCTGGATCAAGGGGTGCTGTGGTGCTGCTGCAGACACTGAAGTACCTCGTCGAAGAATGCTACAGCGAACGGCTAAGAATCGGCCACAACCGCCGAGAGGAAATGTACAAGAAGCTGCGCGCAGGTTGTTCACGCACCCTGGAGATTGTAGAGGCTGCTATGCAGATGCACAAGTCCACCGGCCAGCTAGATGACAATGTCAAAATTCTATGTTTCCAGTGTACGAGTTCTTGGCTGCGGATGTGCAACGTTCCGGTTACGACCCTCACGCAGTGTCAAATTATTTTTGCTCCGTTTGAGGTACGTACAGTTTTCTATTTGTGCCAAATTTCTGGCTAGAAGTATTGATGTCGGGGGTCATCTGTAATTATCGAATAATTAAAAATTCGTCCTCGTGCAAATTTTTCTCTGACTGACATTGTGACAAGTGACATGATCAAAATGCAAGTACCCCAGCTTTTGCAACAATCAACAACCTTCACTACATTTACAGTGCAACAAGTGTACGAATATCTAAAAATATAATTCCGCCAGCGTTCATCACGGCACCCACCCCTTTTTGCACGAGGACAGATTTTTTAATTAAACTACTAAGCAACATTTATCAATAATTACGGAAGACCCCTTGCTTAGTTTTTTTGGTATGTGTGTCTTCCATACAATCAAAGTATTTCTGGAAGAGATCATGGAAGGGATTTGGGAATTTGAAAGTGCATACTAAACTAGTATTACCATATTTTCCGGAGTGTTAGCCCCTTCCCCCCCCCCCCCCCTTCTGTGTCCAAATTTCGTATTTTTGTGGACATTCGGAGTATAAGCCGCACGTCGTACTGTGAATTTTTTGTCCATCCTGTCTTTATACGGGTGCCAGTGCATACAAAGCGTTACCGCTGGTTCAAAAGGCAAGAAGCACGACTGAAGTTCTAGCAAAGGTTTCCTATTTTTTCTTCTCTCTAAACTGACAACATGTACCTGTAGAAGCTTCATGCTAGTTCAATGGTAGACTGCGATACATGAACAGTAGTCGAATGACACCATACATGCATTATATGCATAAAGCACTTGTAGACTGACATGCAGCATTCGGAGTCTTATGTCGCAGGGGCGATTTCGATTTTGTGATTTGTTTTTTAAAGTGCGGCGAACTCTGAGGAAAATGCTGTAATTGTAACGCTAAATCTAACGGTGCTCGTACCCAGCACCCAAAATACCGTCGGTTTGGTACCGTTTCGACGATCTAAGACTCTACAGAGAGCACAGAACAGTATCAAACTTTTTTCCGGACAATCTGGTGAGCGTGTGTGCATACACTGTCTACTGTTGCTAGGGTGATGTTGCAAGCCGATCGTTATGTCGGAAGCAGTAATACTAATGTCTACACACACAAAAAAACGATATGAGCCGGTCGTCGGAATAAGCGTAAACTGTGAAATGCTATCCATGTCTATTGACATACAACATTATATTATATACAGAAGCCTTGCTTGGTAGCATGTTTTTCGATTTTGACAGCATGTTACAAGGGGACTCTGCCAACCGGGTTATGATTGTAGTCAGGAGCGCTACGCGTCCTCGCCTTGTAACATGCTGTCAAAATCGAAAAACATACAATATCAGTAGTATAACTGTTTTGGATACAAGCCTCGCTGGAATTTCAGCAGGAACCTTGCATAGGCTTGTGCAAATATGAGCCTGACCTGACCTCTATATGCGACTCTACATAACTCAGATACATTCATTCCAGGTTTTACTTTCCGGGCTGTCGCAGATGGTTTACGTCTACCCGGAAACAAACTTTGTTCACTTCACACTTTCACCCCTTCCTCCCCTCCCAAATACTAGTAAACGGTGCTTGCTACGGAGGACGACATCAACCATCATCTCAAATATTTTTGCCCTGACCCCTTATTGCCGTGAATTCTACAATGTACGGTGCCCAAGTCCAACTACATCTAGCCAACATGTTTTGCTTTACCAGTTTCTTGATTGATTTGCTGGATGGTAGAAATTCCATGGGATCAAGTTGACAGGAGAAGGGCACCATCAGCATAACTTAGTGTACTTGGGTGATTGACTCACTTTTCTCTGATTCTATCTACATCAGGTACTCAAGGACGTGGATGCAGATGCCAAGCTGTATGAAGCTGCATGTGACTGTGTCTGCAGCACATTGTACGTATGTGAGCACACAGCCGAGTACTCTCAGCTTGCGTTCATGCTAGTGCCAAAGGTCATTGAGCTGGTAAGCCATATATTTTTGACTTACAGTTGTGGCAAGTGAAATCCGACACTTGCCATAGGGGACAGCGCCTCAAATGGACATCAATGATGTAATGCACTGCACCTAATTTGTACTATAGAGCCGTATGCATCCCAAACAGGTCGAAAGGTCACAGCTTAGATACACACAGTTCACAAACATGGTACACATAAGGAGTATTGGTATCCAATTCCCATTCATTTTTGCCAACACCTTTTGAACCTTGACTGTGATGAGTACGAATTCTGTCATCAGACAGATAAAGTTGTATGCAGCACATGTACTGTACTCACGTACATGTATTCTAGGGCTGCAGAGGCTGCAGAATGCACGGTGCAGACCCTTATGCCAAGTGTCGGATTTCACTTGCCACAACTGTATATCTGCCCTGTGTTCCGTCTTAATTTGGCTCTCTGCTTCTCTCTGATCCCCCCACTCTCCTGGTACCCCCCCCCCCCCCTCTCTCTCTCTCTCTCTCTCTCTCTCTCTCTCTTTCTCTCTTTCTCTCTCTCTCTCTCTTTCTCTCTCTCTCTCTCTCTCTCTCTCTCTCTCTCTCTCTCTCTCTCTCTCTCTCTCTCTCTCTCTCTCTCTCTCTCTACCTCTATCTCTTCTCTCTTCTCTCTTCTCTCTATCTCTTCTCTCTTCTCTCTATCTCTTCTCTCTTCTCTTCTCTCTTCTCTTTCTCTCTCTCTTTCTCTCTCTCTTTCTCTCTCTCTCTCTCTCTCTCTCTCTCTCTCTCTCTCTCTCTCTCTCTCTCTCTCTCTCTCTCTTTCGCCCTCTCTTTCGCCCTCTCTCTCCCGTGTCCATATCTTCAACCTCCTATGCAGGCCAACCTTGTGCAAATGAGAGGCTGCGGTAAAAAAATTCTCTTAAGTTACTGGCCTCAAATGTTGGCGGACAGGGTCGATCTGCTATAAAGTTATTTGGCTTGGCCTAATGTGTTACTGTGTGTGTGTGTGTCCGCGTGTGCGTGCTTGCATACTTGTGCGCGTATGCATATGCATGCTTGCATGTGTGTGTGTGCGTGTGTGTTCTTTGATATGCAGGTGGACGTGTTTTTCAAATGCGTGTCAACTAATGACGTTGGCAAGGCAGAAGACCTGTGCCGAGTGTTCACGGAGATGGCTGAGGCGTTTCTGGAGCACATTGCTACCACACCTGGTGAAGGTTTTGGTGATCTTCTCAGTGTACAGATTCTGCTCAAATGCTTAGAAACAGGTAGCATACCGATGGCGAAAATTATGCTCAATTTCTGGTTTAGGCTGTCGGAGGAAGTGTTCCGGCGGAAGGAGGGTATCGAATTCTCTGACCGTAAGCATTGCTGTGTGTGTGTGTGTGTGTGTGTGTGTGTGTTGTTGTTGTTGCTGTTGCTGTTGCTGTTGTTGTTGTTGTTGTTGTTGTTGTTGTTGTTGTTGTTGTTGTTGTTGTTGTTGTTGTTGTTGTTGTTGTTGTTTTAGTTGTGGTGTTTATTTTAATTCGCGATTCAAACGGGCAAGTATGCCCAGTTACAGGAATGCGAATGGCAGAGTGAGATAAGGTGTGTGTCTGTGTCTGTTTGTCTGTCTGCATGCGTGCGTGTGTGCATGCGTGCGTGCGTGTGTGTGTGTGGTACATGGTGTGTGTCTGTGTGTGCATGTGCATGTCTGTGTGTGGTGCATGCATGCGTGTGTGTGTGTGTGTGTGTGTGTGTGTGTGTGTGTGTGTGTGTGTGTGTGTGTGCTCACCTTCTTGGGATGCATCCCGGACCACCACCACCACCACCCTAATATTTGGCTGGAATGGTGTGTATTATGTTGCAGTACATTCATGGTCTCACATGTCACCTGGATGACCTCATTGTGTTATTTGCATCTGGATGTGTGTGTGTGTGTGTGGCGTTTGTCTGTCTCTCTGTTTTGTGTGTGTGTGTGTGTGTGTGTGTGTGTGTGTGTGCGCATGTGTGTGTGTACGTATGTGTGTGTGTGCACGTGTGTGTGTGCACGTGTGTGTGTGTGCACGTGTGTGTGTGTGTTTGTATGTATGTGCGTGTATCAGTTGATCCCGGTGTGAAGGCGAAGCATGTGGAGGCTGTATTGTTCCCGTACCGACCCATTATCCAGGAGATTGTCCAGCACCTGATCACTCTCATGCAGCTTGAGTCCGATCACACCGGTGTGCCAAGTACCAACTCGGACATGAAAGAGTTTCGGACGGATATCTTTGATATGCTGCGCGACCTCGCCTTCATTAATGGTTCGATTAACCTGCTCACGTTTGTCTTTAAGTCGATGGTGGAAGGAGAACAAAAGGCATGGACTTCGGTGAGTAGTTTTTTCTGTGCTAAGAGTTCCTGCGAGCATCTTCTTTCTTCAATACACATGTATCACTGAAGTTTCTGTGGCTGCAACCCGTCATGACATATGGCTGCTGGTGCTGCTGATGTGTTTGACGAATGGGAGTGTCCATGTGCTCTCTGCATGCTCATGCAAGCATTTCTTTTGGGCTGTTCTTGTCCATAAGTTATAACTTTGCTGTTGTTGGTGTAGGTCGAATCGCATTTGTGGCTCATAGAGACAATGTGTGTTGGAATCAAGCCAGAGGATGATAGTCCAGTGATCTTGGAGTTGCTAAAGGTTGTGCTCAGCTTTCCGACGGAGGTGAATGTTGCCTTGCAAAGTACTGCGCTTGGAGTGCTGGCGGAGCTATCACGTTGGTTCTACAACCACCCGCAATACCTTGGTGACGTGTTGACGTTTGTGTGCGGACGCGCGCATATTGCCGGCCTTGGCTTGCCGTGCATGACAACTCTGTGTGACCTGGCCGAGGCATGTCAGCACAATCTCTTACCGCACTTTGACACCCTATTGCAGGTAGGTGTCACACTGCCCTACTGTGTTGGTTATCATGTACATGTATGTATGCCACTGCTGTACATTCACTGTTGCTTGGTAAATCACTGTTGCATGGTAAATCACTGTTGCTTGGCAAATCCCTGTTGCATGGTAAATCACGATTGCTACATCAGGTCAGGGTCATGATTAGACTAATAGGGGAAAACTGTAGAGGGGCCGACGCTGTGCAAGAGAGTTTAACAGTACCGTATTTCCCCGATTATAAGTCGCACTCGATTGTAAGTCGCATCTCCATTTTCAGGTCTATGTCATATCGTTTCAATACATTCACTTCAATAGTATATCATGCTCGATTGTAAGTCGCACCCCCTTTGCACCCCCTTTGTTGGCCCTGAAGTGCAGTGTAAAAAGCTGGTATGTCGAATGGGTAATCAACTACTAATGCAATGTATAGGCCGAGTCCTGATAACACATAACCTACGCGACCACAGACATGCTGTGTATAATTACACTGCATATTGTAGACAATCACAACCAGTAAGAGGGACTGCAGAGTTCGGTTTTTTAAACCGATGAATTAAAGTCCACTTCACAGGATGGGGCCCGTTTGTTTGAAGCTTACTCTTGAAGTTTACCAGATTGGTTCAGTGTCCTCTCTGCTCCTCTCTGCATTAGTAGTGTGTGTGTGCGTGTGTGCGTGTGTGTGTGTGCGTGTGTGCGTGTGTGTGTGTGTGTGTGTGTGTGTGTGTGTGTGTGTGCGTGCACGTTTGCTCAACTACCGTTGTGCTGCTACAGGTAGCTGCAGCTGTAGACACCCTGAACCTTGACACTCCGGCTGTTATTCAACTGCTTAGTGCGTTGGGTTATGTCATTGGCAAAGTACCACGCGCCAAGGCGGCAACTGCTGTTCAGCAGCTTGTTGATCACGAGGTTAGTCCGGCAGTGGAAGACTCTTTGCATAGATGTTATCCTACTGCACTGTCTTGTGGAAAGCTGCTTGTCTCAGATGAAAATCTGTTCTGACTGTTGAATACAGGCCTGATTTTCGAGATTGACTTTTGGCACAAATGTGAATATGAATTGTAGGGGCACGGACACAATGATCATTGTGATGCCGGTAGTGGTTATAATAACCTTCATCATCGACTGATGACTCTCGAAAATGAATTGTGTAAGGTTCCTTGTCATGATCCAGCACTTACTATTTTCTCAAAGTGCGAAGACTCCACTGTTGTCATCCACTATATCCATGCATCTTCACAACACTCTCCAAACGGTCCCTGGGCTACACCAATCACTAAAAGAAAAAAAGAGATAATCATTCGAATTTTCTTGTAGTTGTGGAGTTCCTCAAGGTGGTTCTTCATGGCAGCAACTTGCGCCAGACTGTCAATGCCGCCAGCAATCTTCTAGAGGTGGAATCCGGATAATTCGAACCCCAGAATGCGGGGGGGGGGGGGGGGGGGGGGAGATTTCTAAGTATCCAAACATGTACCCACAACAACTTATGCATGTGAAAATGCATTGTCATGCAGAACTGCGCTATGCACCATGGACACAGATTTCATGGACAAACACTGTACTGACCAGCACAGTGTACAGTGAACTTGGAATTACACCTTGCGAACTTCAAATTATCTGCAAGAATCCCACACATTATCTATGAAATTGTATTCAATGAAATCGGTCCTGGAAGAAACTTCTAATCGAGCGGTATGTTGAATTGAGCCATCCATATTCGAATTATCAGGATTCCACCTGTACTCGTTCCTTTGTTGCGGGTACAGTGGTTCTTTGCCTGGAAGTCTGTGTTCAGCCTGATGGTTTCGTGCCCGTCTTGGTGCAGAACACAGGCCGGACTTCCGGATGAGTATGAATTTCACCAAATGAGTATGAATTTCACCAAGGCACGAGCCGACGCAACAAAAACTGGTGAAGCACGCCGACAACGGCGATAGCTTGTGCAGATCTAGGGGAATGAGCACGTCGGGGGGGGGGGGGGGGGGGGCAGTAAACCTGGATCCATGACTAATCTTCCGATGTAGTCAACGTCTTGTGGTCTATGCTGAGCTTGTTCCCCTATTGCCGAGTCAACTACTTGTTGCAATGTTCCCCTGGTCTGTTTGGCCTGCCCGGACCCAAACTTGTATAGCAGCAGCAATGGTGGTCTTTGGCGGTGGTGTCAGTTACAGACTTTTGCTCCGTGCGTCCAGGATAGGAGTAGTGGCGGTACGGGAGTGCTGTCCGTTCCATGCATTCCTTACAAAGCATGGTGAGCATGCTGATGGCCTCTTTCGCGGGTCGCCTCTATACATGCGCACAGTCTAAGTCTGTGCTAGTAACAGTCGGCTGTGGTGTACTCGGCAAGCAATGCACTACATGCGCTTTCACTTTCTAAATACCAGTGTGCATCTCAGCATCAGGGGTTTTTCTACCGCTGTGTGCGTATTTGTGTACGTGCTCTAGGTGACTGGATTGCGGAAAGTGGCTGAACTGCGCAATTTCTCGTCTGTCGTGCACTACTTGGACCGGATTGCTGCAATATTCAAGAACATCAATGTGAGTCATGATACCGGTACACTGTTTCTCATTGTTTTCGCGAAGTATGCGCTTGTAGAACACATGTGCCTGCGTGTGTGTGGGGGGGGGGGGTGTTTGTTTGTTTGTTTGTGTGCGCTATGTGGCTTGATCATTGATAATATCATACCCAAACAGGACTGCTATAGTGCACGGATGGATGGGTTTGTGCTTGAGAAGTATTCAGACGCCTTCTTGAATGTGCCACACTGTTGATTTATATACTGCCTCTTTATTGAATGAAACACTATCGTGCAAGCACATGCACCTGAGCATGTGCTGTTTAAAATGCATGCACACTGGGTCGTGTTGCAAAATGTCTTGTCTGTCCAAACATATTATTGTTATTCAGTGCCAAGACAAGGAGCAGCCTCATCCATGCCAGCAGGTCGTCATCAATCTGTGGCCACTGCTTAGCTCTCTTGGCACAGAGTTTGTGGCCGAGGGGCACGTCATGGAGCACTGGTGTCGCCTTATCCGATTCTGCCTGCGCCTGCTTGAGTCGTCGGGAAAGCCGCTGCTCTCTCCGCTCTTACATGTCCTCGTGACCATGTACGACAGTCAGCAGCATTCATCCTTTCTCTATCTGGCGTCAGTCTGCGTGGATCTGTTTGCTACCGATGCAGAGTGTGTTCCGTTCCTGACTGACATGATGTCGCACTTTAGCAATCGTGTTCTGACAACTCACCTGGTGCATTACGCTGACCTGGTCAACAACCCTCACACTGTGGACGACTACTACAGGTTGTGTGTGCGCTTCATGCAGAACATTCCGTTGAGTCTTATTCGACTGCCGTGCATGAACAGCATAGTCAGCCGTGCCCTCGCTGGCCTTGTTCTGCACCACCGGGAAGCTGCAGCATCCATATCGCGATTCTTCACCGACCTGATCCGCTGTGCGTCCGACTCCGCGTATGCCAATCAGAGCCAGGGTAATGCAGTCGAGTTGAAGCAGAACCTGGATGTGCTGCTGGAGCAGAACGGTCTGGCGCTGGTCAACCAGGTGATATCCGCATCTTGTGGTAGCGTGCCGTATCACTTGCTTGGTCTGCATGCCGATGTGCTCTATGCACTCTTGTGTGTTGTTCCAATGGGCCTGACACAGTGGCTACAGCAAGCCTTGTCAGCAGTACAGCGTAGCACCACCACTGGCCTGGAGATTGTCACCGAAGGCCAGCTCAGTGAATACTACAGGTCACTTACCACGGTAACTGGGCAGAGAGCTATGCGCTTGGTCATGCAAGAATTCTACAACCTATTCCGGTAGCCAAGCATTCTCATTGACTGGTGGTGGCAGCGGCGTCTCCCTCTACTGCTCCACTGCTGGTGTTGCTGACATGTCTGAGCTGGGCACTCTCCCCTCTCCTGGTTGCTTCTCCCGTGTGTAGCCTGTCACATACATACTCTGGTGTGGTACATGAATAATGCTAATCTGGTGGCCTGCACCTATGTGCAATGGCATATGTACATGTACATTTGCTTTATGGAGAGACAGAGAATCAGAAAGGCCGAGAGAAGGGCATACACACTAGTAGTAGTATTTGCACGCAGCACACCAGACGTACCAGTCCACATCGCGTCACGGGCTGGTAAAGTTGTCAACAGGCCGACTCCTATCTAGCCTCTTGTGTGCTAGAGTTTTCAGACTTCAAAGTTCCCATGAACAAGAAGCAACAGCAACAACAGCAGCAGCATGTCATCAACGACCCCCCAAGTTGGCAATCCTCTGCCGGTTGGAACCGAGAAATATTATTTTAGTTTCGCTTCTGTCATTGTGTATACTCATGCAACACCTTAGGAAATCTTTCTAAATTTTGACTAAGTTTTGCCTTCTTTTCAATTTTTAAGTCTCCACTGTCAGACATAGGTTGATATTTTCTGTCCTGGGGTGTTGGTGACACAATATGCCCAGCCAGTATTGAGTATGCGAGTGTGTGTGTGTGTGTGTCTGTGTGTGCTTGTCTGTCTGCCAGGTGGCAACAATCTTTTTAAGATGTTTTTCAGCTTGGTTCTGCACATGTTGCGCGTGAGATGTGTTGATGTACATTCTGTCACATTGCCTTTGCTCATCCTTACGGTCTTGTATTGACTTCCCTGTCATCTGCTTTTATTTCAATGTCATAGTAGCATGCAGGGCATGGCGTTTCCCCAAGTGGACGGGAATATTTACACTTCATTCTGTTCGCACGTCTGGCTGACCAATGCAAATACCGTCCGTTGAGTGTATGCGCATACATGTTTGTGTGCATGTCTCTACGACTACACGTATGCTGAAATACTCCCATGAAACATACATTGCACACACTACTCTCCTCTGCTCTTCTTTCTCTGACCTCCTTCCATTCAGATATATGTTGTGTTTTTTTGACAATGTGTGTCGTAGTTGGGTGTCGTGTGTTGCTCTGTGAAAATCGCTCTCCACGTATTTCCTCTCATTCCTGTCATTGTGTGCTGTGAAAATCATGGGAGCTGACACTTTCCTTGAATCACAACCGCCCGTTTCTTTAACTCGCTCGTGTGTACATGTGTGTGTGGGTGGGTGTGAGCATGCATGCACACCTTTCTCGTGCCAGGGAAGGTGTCGCTACACCCATGGCGCAGTGCATTTTTAGGATTGAGGGTGACCACTTTGAGCCTGTCTACCTAATTGCAGAGCAATATGAACCTCGCTTATCCTATCTAATTGCAGAGCAATATGAACCTCGCTTATCCTATCTAATTGCAGAGCAATATGAACCTTGCTTATCCGGTCCTCTTTTATCCGGATCCCTCACCATCCAGAAGAAAATAGCTGGTAACCGATTTTCAGTATACGTGACCCATACAACATAACCGGACCTCGCGATCCGCATACTGGTGCATGATTGAATATCAAAAATCAACAAGTATGGGATATATTATAGATTATAGAATGCCATGAGCAGTAATTATGGTCATGAATTGGCAAGCGTATGTATATTCCAGCATGGTCAAGCAATGCAGCGCAAGTTTGTGTCATCAACCATCGTCTCAGTATCAAGTTACAATTCAGTACGATCTGCTGGTGGGCCATCTGTGTGACACCAGCCTCAGAGTTCTTTCTATACCACATCTGCATGGAATACCAGATGGGCGAGAGCAACCCTACATCACGATGCGCACTGGCAGTTGGACCGCATGTGCATACACACCATGCACTGGGCCCCAGAAGCATCTGAGTGGGACTATTGCCTCAAGGCAATGCACCAGTAGCATGCACACGCTCAGTGTCAGCCGGCACAAGGCGAGCGTGTAGGCCACACTGTAGCTGGTGACATCGGCAGCGGCGCATTGAACTCGTCGTCTTGCAGGACAGCTGCTCATGCGGTGTCATCGACGTATATGGAGTGGCTGCACCCGCCGACTGCTAGTGGACTTGTAAATCCAGTGATTTCGTGTGAGTAAGAGGCAGTGTATGGCACTAAGTAGAGAACATACAGCAGGCGGAGGAAACAACAAGCACAAAATATAATTTAAAATTAATAACGCATGATCTCAGTCAATGACTCATCCATAGTCAATTCTGGCCATATTAAGGGTCATCTACTGAAAAGTGTAAGGCATCTCAGTGTTGCTTGCGTGGGGGGGGGGGAGCAAAGACAGAGACAGAGGGGAGAGAGAGATCTATTACAAATAGTGCGGTGCAAAACTATACTAGCTAGTAGGTCTGATCCTGCTCCCCTACCTGCGGTCTTTCTACTGGTGAGCCGAGTTTGACAGGCTGTCCAGCCACATCACAGCATTCGGCGTATCCATCCATGGACATAACCTCGGCATCAGAGAGCCGATAGCGACAGATGCGATCTCCACATCTGCAGATTAACCGCACATCACACAAGAAACCCAGGAACAGCTGTTGTTGACCAGATCCTTGGACTCTCAGCCTTTTTTTAGCCACCACCCTTTTCTTGTTTTCCCAGTGCCATTGGAATGGTTGCTGTGATGATGAATTGTCTCAGCCCACGAGCCGCGGTGATGACTAATGGTGTGTGAAGGTACTTATGCAGTTACTAGTACAGTCATACAAGTATACACGAAACAAACAGCCGGAATACCAACGTTCTTTCCTGTACTTTTCTATGAATCTCCCCCCTGTGTCTCTATGGCATAAGAATTATAATAATTATTACTACTCCATGGATGCAGTGAATGGGATTTTCGGTCTTTGACCACTTTGTGGACTGGTGGGTCTGATCTACTTACCTCCCACCGCTTTAGGAGCTGCATCTGCGCCTTTGATCCACAGAGGGTGATGGCGTTCCTGCGAATGCGGAAAACTCGGCCTGTGGCTGAGTCTCACGCGAACCGTGAACCCCCCCCCCCCCCCCCCCCCCCAGCTATGGTTGGATGATGGCCAAGGGAGAGCAGGACTGGAGACTCCATGACAAGAGGTTTTTTTTAGCGTTTCCACTGCATTTATTCCGAACTGAATCTGATGGCAAATATGGAGCTGAAACTGACCTGCTCATGAACGTTTAAAACAGGTACTAGGTTTCTACCAGTATCGTACAGTACTCCTCACTAAAATCCGATCACATGAGTCAAGTACTCGCCGGGCACGGTGCAGCCCCAGACCAGCCAACACTGGGGTTTTCACTCGTACGGGGCCGCGCAAAGCTGACTTACTTGATCGGATTCTAGGGGTGAAACGATTAGTTTGAATATTCAAGTAATCTGTAAGAAAGGTTTGCTCCCCACACCGGAGCTCGCGCTATTCCGCCGACTTTACTTGACACTTGACTGACTCACGACTGCCATCCAGAGCACACGAGAAGTCCATCGAACCTTCGACTCGGCAAACCTGCAAGAAAGCACCACTCCCTGCTCAATACACAGTGTTTCGGGGAATTCACCCCTCATCAGTTGAGCTTGAGTAGGCTGAGGAAGATTGTGCCTGAAGAGCACCACTTATATAGTGCTCTCCAGGCACCGTCCAGGAGCGACACTGACTCACGCTGCTATCTGGTGTTCACGAGGTGTTTATCGCGCTGGAAGCGGAGCGTCTCTGTAAGTTTGTATCCCTGGTGATGTTTGTGCCTGGAGAGCACTATATAAGTGGTGCTCTTCAGGCACAATCTTCCTCAGCCTACTCAAGCTCAACTGATGAGGGGTGAATTCCCCGAAACACTGTGTATTGAGCAGGGAGTGGTGCTTTCTTGCAGGTTTGCCGAGTCGAAGGTTCGATGGACTTCTCGTGTGCTCTGGATGGCAGTCGTGAGTCAGTCAAGTGTCAAGTAAAGTCGGCGGAATAGCGCGAGCTCCGGTGTGGGGAGCAAACCTTTCTTACAAATCATCGCCGAAGTCGCAACCACTACTTCGTATTCAAGTAATCGTTCGAAAATTTCAAACGAGCAAGTATTCGAAATTTTGCACTCGATCGTTTCTAAAAAGTAAAAAGGACCAAGGAACTACAAGTTACACTATAATGTCCACTAACACCACCAGTTACTAAACAATCCTCAGCAGAAACCACTAGTTGTCTAGGTCTACTCTCTAACCCTGACATGGGAAAAGAGAAAAGGAGTAATGTGCGTAACTTGGGTCAGCCACAAGTGGGACGGTTTGATGTAAACTTCTCATGGAAGCTTGCAATACGTACCTTACAGCCAGTGTTCGTGAATTGGGTTCACTCAGGCAGTCGCGTAATAGAAACGCACCGTCAGCTTGCTGGCTGAGGATGAACACTTCCTCTTCTCTGCAGGTACCACACACACACACACGGACTGAATTACAATGCCGCTCAATGAAATCCGACCGAGTGAGTCAAATGTGCGCCCTACACCAGTCACCAGTGAGCATCTCAGTGTTCGCAGGGCTAGGGCTGCGCAGCACGGTTGCCTCACGTGATCGGATTTCATCGAGCAGCAATGTAGTGTTGACACATTGACCGTCGATCACCATGATTCAAGAACCAAGAAGCAAGTGCATGTAGGCAGTCCGATGCTAAGCCACACAAGTTTCCGGGTAGCATGCCAAGCAATGCATCCGCTCACCTTGAAATGTTTCCCCAGTACCATTTCAGATCGAAGCTATACTCGTCACTGGGCTGTGGTGTAAGCTGAAGTTTCTCCTGTGCATAGGAAGAAGCCGTTCGTACGTGTACGAGCATGCACACGCACATACATACACACACACACATACACACACACACACACACACACACACACACACACACACACCTCAGACATGCCACGTCGCGTAAGCGATTATAGCGAACAGCCATGTTAGACATCGCAACTTGTGCTGGGATTACACCATTCAACAGCTTGCAAGGCTGATGAATTGACCGCCAATATTTTCTAGCCTGGTATCCACCACACAGCTGATTGAAGTGGCTTTTTCTGGCCAGTGAATCCCTATTTTTTCACCCACACATACCCATACACATACACGCATTATGCACACACGCACAGTGATACATAAGCTTGCAAGCGTAATTAGCGTATCATCATGATTGTGTGCGTAAACCGCGTGTACTGCAACTGTCAAAATGCTAGGCTTAGAGCAAAAGGGAAAGCACAGTCAGTGACACACGTGCAATAGTCTAGAATCGAGTGCTAAAGAACGTGGAGCCCAAGAACACCCAGCCTGAAATACTAAGAACGCCACATAACAACCTAAAAAGAACTTCTGTGTTGGTCACTTTCTAGCAGTTTTTTTGCTGATACATACACATATGTAGGTGACCGTGCATAAAAATATGATCTAGAAACATGATCCAGTACAAATTGTTTCTGAGGACTTGCTAACGGAAACTCGCCAGAGCCAGGGCCCATCTTTTTTATGAATGGACTGTAGACTGTAGTGTAAGAATGGACTGTAGTGTAAGAACACAGCCACTGGCTAGCCTTTTCCCAAAGATGCCATAATTTTTCGCAACTTATGCTATTCGCAACCGTGCCAAAACAAGTGCTAGTTGCTGAAATCGCATCCATATTTTCAGAAAAAGCTCAAAAAGTTGCTAATATCGCAACCTAAAATTGGAGAGTTCTTCTGCAAAAACCTAGAAAAAAGGGAGCAGAAATAGCAGAAGTGCAGCGACAGCAAACTCGTAGATCTACATTGTACATGTACATGTACACCCCTTCCTGCTGTGAACCACCACTTTACACAGTGCCAGTAGCCTGTTGCATGTATCCTACATGTACAATCATGTAACGTACATGAACATCATCCCAGCGCAAGGAAAAGGGAATGCACATTATCATAATTACCGTTGATCTACGGTTTCTCTGAAATCAGTCTGAAGGCAGGCGAGAAAGAGCGAGTACGAGTATGCATTTGTCCGACATGTACATGATGTAGTCGGTGAGTCGGTGACTTGACCTTTTGACCCCATGCCATGGGGCCAATTGTGCCAAGGTTGCGGAAGAGTTGCGAAATAGTTCGCGAAAATGAAGAAAGTTGCGAAAGTTGCGATTTCTTCCTAAACAACGAAAAGTTGCGAAAAAAGTGGCGAGCATCTTATTTTACCACTGGCCCATATTGCTCAAAGATAAGAACGTCCAAGCCTGACCTCTTGGATATGACGTTCTTGGGTGTGGGACTCTACTAAAAGCGTACCTCCAATCATTTTACACATCCTACTTGTAGGTCAATATGCTCCGGCTCCTCAAACTTCAAAGAAGTACTTTTGGTGTCCAATGTAAAGAGGAAAGTATGTCCTGCCCAGTCACGTGATCACTGAGTGTACTTTATACTGAATGATTTAACTGTAGTGTAGAGCTGTCACAGTGTCAGAGTGGTAGGGAGTCGGTAGGGAGTCAGTACGGACTACAGAGTCACAAGTTTTCGAGATTAGAATATCTACCGGTAACATAATAGCACTTGTCCTTCAGCATTGTACTCCACTATACTCCAAGTCCTACATTAGGCTCTTACCATTGTGTGCGGTTTGCTGTTGCAGGATTGGAAGTCTCTGAGACTCGTAGATCTACTCGGACTGCTGCATGCGTTGAGGCGTTCAGACTTCTGCCCTTTCAACCCAAACTCAAGGAGAACGAAGGAAGGAAGAGCGAGCTAATGCTATACCGCTGCGATCCCAACAATTGATCAAGTACCCAAGCTAAACATTGCCTGTGCGGCTTTATGAAAAGTTTGTTCCACGATCAGCAGATTTACCGGTAGTCATGCCAGGGCTAGCGACTGCTGCATGCTGGTGCTGAGTGGTGGATAAACTGATTTCTCGCTCCGCATAGGAGCTACGGGGTGCATGTGAAGAGGGCTAGGGACAGACTCAGTGGTCATGCACACACGTTGGCCGTGATAAACCAGCAACTCGTCCACCGTTGGAATTGCTCACCCTGACAAGGAATGTGAGAAATCACCTTTTGATTGAGCAGCCAGCTACGTAGCAGTGTCCAATGGTGTCCTTCGCAGGAGAACGCCTTTCCTGCTCGTTGACGGCCAATAGCGGCTATCGTCATTCTGGCCATTCTTCGCACTGATACCTGCGGCTCCCGAACGTAGGTATGACCTGGGACGAACGTCTCGTGCCGTTGTGGAGTGTGCAACTCACAGTGAACATGATTGTTGAGTATCCGTGCCAAGGCAATGGTACCAACTGCTTCACTCGCTCGTTGAGCGACCAGCCTGGAATCGACGCTTTCCAGCAATGGACGACTTCCGATTGTACTCGTCCGCACGAACGTGAGCCACAGTCACCACAATGCCAGGAACGCTAGCTGCTAATGACTTCAGGCTAAGGCGATCGATGGAGATTGGAGTACTCCATTCCGCAATGACTCGCCGAGAACTGAGGAGATGAAGAAACAATGCACAAATTAGCTGCTGGACGGCTGTGTGTGGTTGTCACCTTCCTGCATCATGACTGCAGAGTATGGGAGTGAGACTGAGAGGCAGGTTCGTGCAGCTTCCGAGACCATGTCACCCACCAGTACCAGACTCACCACTCGACCACAGTCAGGGTATTCTGCGCCAATCAGTGCAGCGCACGTAAGTTGTGCGCGCGCAGCTGCGCAGAGTTCAAACCAGGCGTCAAAAGCCAGCATCATAGAAGAGTCATTGCATATTATTGATACAGTCGATCATCAGTTCAGGTCATGTAGACCGCCGGGATGAATACAGTCTGGAGTGGAGGTTCACGCCACAGATCTACTCAGTAGATCTACATCACGTCATCAGTACATGACATTGTCATTGTACAGTCCAGTAGTTTTAGTTTTGAGGTTACGCGATATCGTCATCGTTTGAAGTACAAAGTGTACGGAGATTATGTCTGGAGTGGCGAAACTGCAGCAACACAGAGTGCAATGCACAAGCACTGGTTTGCTTCTCATTACAAAGTCAAAGCATTATGACTGTGACGATCTTATTCGCATCATCTGAGAGTATGCCATGGTATACCGTGTACACGTAGGTCTACGTGTGGTCATACATAATCATTGTAACTAACTGTTACTAATACATACTATCATAGGTAAGTCTTGTTATTTAGTTACTAGCCTATTGACAGCACGAACGGCTAACTGACTCGGAGGCAAGACTAGTACTAGCGGGATGGGGAAGCTAGCGGCAGAATGGTCTTTCTAAGATCTTGCAAGACACAGTCATAATGATGGCAGATATTACCTTGAATGCGCGTCTTTGTGAGAGTGGCACTAACACAGAAGTGAACAAGAGCGAGAAAAGGGTCAATACAGGCCGTGTAAACGAACATCTGTTTCGGCATATGACCATCGTGTACCGCAGTGACCACTATCATGCACCTGGACTCAATTGCCTGATCCAATCCTTATTCACACCCTCCCACTCCCCGGGGCCACTTTAGCAAGACTGATACAATCATAACGTCAGCATGCATGCCATCATGTATACGCGTGCCTGAATGGTACTGTCTACGTGTGGCGGCACTGCTTGGTAGTTAGTTTACACATCTGCTGGTGTACTGCATAATCTTTCAGTATTCATCATTGTGCAACCTTCCACGGTTGACAGAACGAGGTTTCAGTCGGAGTTTCACACCAAAGCGAACAGACTGGAGGAGCAGGTGATTTCTTCTGTGACGCGTGCGCCCACGCGCGGGGGGGGGCTGGGGGAGGGGGTATGGACACTTGGCCAGGGACGGGGCCGGTGGGGGGGGGGGGGGGGGAGGGAGGCATGGACACTTGGCCAGGGGGGGGGGGGGACATGGACACTTGGCCAGGGGGGGGGGGGGGGGTATGGACACTTGGCGGCCAGGGGAGGGGTAAGGACACTTGGCCATGCATGTACAGTCCATAGTGCTATCAAGAGTGTAGAATATTTATCGTAAGAAAATCCGTGCTGCCAGATCTGCCTTTCTTGATCACAACGCTGCCAGTATCTCGAAGGGTTGCACGAAAGGTGGATATGTGTGGTGGAGGAGAGTTAAGGACTTTTGCAACATTTTAACTCGTAAACCATTGATACCAGATTTACAAGATGGCGATCGTCGGACTAACACGCAATTGGAAAAGGTGAACATTCTTGCACAGCATTTTGCCAATCAGTGTACGTTACCACAAGAAGCAAATCAATTCCCTTGTTTAGATTCCTCCCTTGACACTACCACTCCTCGGTTCCAGATGCCAACATTTTCACCAGGTCAAGTCCACTATGACCTTACACATCTTTCGTCTCGAAAATCGACTTCAAGTAATTATATTATTCCAGTACTCCGGTCCATGGCTGATTTAGTATGCGAGTCCTTGTCTTACTTGTTCAACTCCAGTCTATCCACATCACAATTTCCCACTGCATGGAAATCAGCAACGGTTATTCCTCTTTTTAAGGGTAAAGGAAGTGCTTCTTTGCCCACGAACTACCGTCCAATTTCACTGCTCCATCCCATCAGCCGCCTCTTTGAATCCCGCATAGCCCATCACCTGAACAGCTTTCTTTACCGTAATTGAATAATTTCGCCCAGTCAATTTGCTTACGTTCCACAACGATCAGCTATGGATCAACTCATTCTTTTGACCCATCAGATTGCCCGTCTCTCTGATAGAGGCCAGAGATTTGACTGTGCATTTCTCGACTTCCAGAAAGCGTTTGATAAAGTACATCATCCTACGCTCCTGCGCCACATGAATGCATTCATTGCACCAGAGGCACACGCCTGGTTTGGGTCCTACTTGCTTGACCGTAGTCTAAATGTGAAGCTGGATGGAACTCACTCTTCTCAATATATACTAAATTGTGGTGTTCCCCAGGGTTCGTACCTTGCCCCTCCCCTTTTTCTTTTGTATATCAATTCCCTTCCTGACATAGTAAACCACACCTCACCCTTTCTCTTTGCTGATGATGTCACTCTTCTAAATGCTCATAATGTATCTCTCTTCTTAGATGAGAACATGTCCCACCTCCAGCAGGATCTGGCCAGCTGCCAGAATTGGGCTCAGAATATCCATGGGAAATTTTCTCCAGAAAAACTTTCATCTTTTCGAATCATGACATTCCTGACTCCTCTGTTTTAATGGACGGCGTTCCTATTGCCTTTGGACGTTCTGCTAAGCATCTCGGCGTACAGCTCAGTGATGGTTTGAAGTTCCATGACCACTTCCACACCATCTTCAGGAAGTTTCAGCAACGAGTCAACCTGTTGTGTTTCATGGGCAGACATTTACCGTCGTCCCATATTCTCCTCTTGTATAAGTCTTATGTGCGTCCGGCAATTGAGTATGCTATTCCGGTCTGGTCATTTAGGATCACATCCGCTCAGTTAGAGTCCCTTGATGTACTCCAGGCTAAGGTTTGCCGGCGACTCCTGAAATCTGCAAAAATAACCTTTGATATCTATGAATCAAAATCCAATTTGAATAGATTGTGTCACTTAGAATCTCTGCAATTTCGCCGCATCTTTATTTCTCTTGTTGTTTTATTTAAGTACATCAATTTCCACCCAGAATATCTCTCTCGCTTTGCGATAACCATATCACGTAGTGCCCGTAGGCCCAAAAAGCTCGTTTTTACCTCACATGGTCGTATTTTTTCATCCCTTTCCTACAGAAAACTGGTTCTCTTTGGAATTGTCTTCCACCCCGATTGACAACTTTAGATTCCCTATCTGAATTCAAGCGTCATTTACGTATTCACATTGCTAAGTATCAGTTCGACTGCACTGGTACACCTTTGATGTGCAATCATTGATTTACATGCTTGTTCTTTTCTTTTCTGTTTTACTTTCTTTCCTTGTGTTTCTTATTATTCCTTTTACAAACCAACATTTCACACTCACTTTGCGCACTTTCTCTCGCATCCTTAACTATGTTGCTAGTACATACACAAATAGGAGATCCCCCAGATAGCCTTTGGGTAATCCTGAAATAAAGATTTTTTTATTTTTTATTATTATTATAAGATCCCAGGAGGTTTTACTCTTGGTGCTCTTATGTCCTGTATACGAAATCCGCTACGCCATCCATTACATTAGCTCTTTCCCTTTTGAACTGTAGTGTAGTGTAGGACTGATTGCACACGTTGACGGTTCAGTGGGAGCTCAGGCTGAGATACACATTCAGCACACGTTCATGAGTTGGAAGCTCTAGCTCTCTTCTTATGAAGTCCACGTGCATGTATGCTAAGCCGCTCAAAGCCTATCTTCCTTCATGCACGCCCTGTATGTCGAGGTCCCTGGGCCACCGACCAGTATGTATCTCGTACATGTACCGTGTATTGGCCCTGTTATGTCGGCTTGATGGGGCAGAGAGTCGGCACTGCTTTCATTTTGTCACACACTAGTCTTGACCGTGTACAACCCAAAGGACACTCAAGAAGCCCCTCAGTGTTAATCAGTTCAAACAGACAACTGACTCACTGAGCTGAGCAGGGAGTGTATTGTGTTGATAACAATATGTTACATCGCTTGGTGTAAGCCAGTGATTCATCATCTACTAGTATGACCTAACGTCAGTGCGTTAGTGGTGCTGCAGTGCTGATTGCAAGCAAGGCGGTACATAGCTAGAAGGTACAGTGTTAAAGTCATGATAAAGAAACCGAAGAGAGATAACGAGCTCTTGAGAAGGACGCAGGTCAGCAATGGAGAGCGAGAGGGAGAGAGAGAAAGAGTGAGCGTGAGAGCGAGCACGCGTGCGAGAGAGAGAGCGAAAGAAAGAGAGTGTGTGTGTACATGTATGTGTGTGTGTGTGTGTGTGGCCAGAAAAAGCCACTTCATAGCTGTGTGGTGTAGATCAGGCTGAATAGTGGTGGTCAATTCTTCAGTCTTGCAAGCTGTTGAATGGTGCAATCCCAGCACAAGCTGCTATGGCTTCTGCTGTAGCATCGCTATCATCGCCTCCGGCGATGGGCGTCAAAAGAAAAGGTCAAAGGTGTGTGTATGTGTTTGTGTGTGTGTGTGTGTGTGTGTATGTGTGTGTGTGTGTGTGTGTGTGTGTGTGTGTGTGTGTGTGTGTGTGTGTGTGTGTGTGTGTGTGTGTGTGTGTGTGTGTGTGTGTGTGTGTGTGTGTGTGTGTGTGTGTGTGTGTGTACGTGTGTGTGTACGTGTGAGAGAGAGAGAGGGGGGGGGGGGGAGTGAGAGAGAAAGAAAGGAGAGAGACTCGCCAACAATGCATGTGTAAGTTAGAATACGTGTCGCACAACGGTAAGAAGAACGCACTTTAGTATGCGAAAATCAAGAAAAGGCTCTAGCGTCCATAGCGACCACGGGAACGGCCATACGATGTACGGGAGGCTGGTCGATATTGAGCACGAGGAGAGCTAGTGCGGCCACGATTGTAACTGGGACGACCGCCGTAGGTTGGGCGACCTCCATAGCCAGGGCGACCGC